GTAAAACGCGGCCTGGAGAAGTATTAAACACAGACTGTCCCCAACAGCTGAGTACTTGGTGGATAAACTGTGTTCTCAAGTGTTTCTGCCATATGTTCAGACAATGGGGCTCCCAGGTCTCCTCCTTTCAATTGCATCATCACCTAGGAGAGATGGGAGCACCAGCTATGCTGCTCCTTGTTTGGCTCCATCTCGGGGGGGGGGAGAAAAAAAAATCACCTTTTGTCAATGACATTCACTGATGCTTCCCTCCCTACTGCTCTGTTCCCGGACGTCCTCGGGATTTCTGACACTGATACTCGTAGCTACAGTTCTGATTTTCACTCTGATTGCTACCTTCTATCCTGTTCCGTATCGGCTCTGACGCCGCACTCCTCGCTGCAGTATCTGAGCACCGTCCAGCCCCATATTACGCAGCGTGGCTGGAGATCTGTTGCCCTGGGCTGCGTTTTCCTCTGCTCACGCAGTAGCAGCTATGGCAATGCCCTTATGTCCGATGGGTGAAGTGGATGCCTCTCATTTGCAGCCACTTAATGCAAGTGCACATGTACTAGGCGCTGCTGCCTTTTGTTTAGCATAATTTGTGCGCGCTCTTTTAAATCCAGCGTGCAGCCCGATGCCCGCAAATGTAAAGCGAGACCCAGATCGCACAGCGGCATGTGCAGACAGAAAGCGATTAGATGGTGTTGGAACAGTCAGGCACAGGTCACGCTATCGCATGTGGGTCTATAAAAATCACAGTGACTGTTCTACGTGCCACTCAGTATTGAGAAGGTTGCAAGTTTGCATTTAAATATGCTACTATGTTGTGGGTTAGAGACCGCTTTCCCTAGGGGCAGCTTACCCCAGAACTGCTCGCTGGAGGATCCCTTGTACCTTTCGCTGAAGCATCTGGTGCTGGCCACTGGCAGAGGCAAATTCTGGTCGAAAAGGATCCTTGTGTTGTCAATCTGGTAATTTCTAGGTTCTTCAGAGTAAAAAACAAAGGACCTGCACCCCTCCTCCCTTCCCTCCTTTTCCATTAAAAAACTCCAAGCCATAATGATACCATCCAGCCAGGCTTTGTTTTCTGGAAGCTGTGCAGATGCTCCAAAAAGGCCTTGAAGGCCAGGATCTGACCCCCGTATTCAAGTCGGGGAGTGCCTGCTCCCCACAAACAGTCCCAGCCGAGGCCCTGGCAGCTCTGGGTGGGGGAGGCACCGCTGGAATCGGTCCCTGGGGTTTTGGAATGTTCTCCCGTGGCAAAGCTCTATCAAAGAGTTAGATGTTTTTATCTTCTTCCCAAGTCTTTGGGGGCAGGCGCCAGGTTTGTGTCATTGCCTGTCTCCGCCCAGCTCTTCTGTCTTTCTCCTCCCTTTGTCTGTCTGTCTGTCTCTTTCCCCGTGTCTGTCTGTCTGGTCCCCCCCTTTGTCAGTGAGCGTTTGCCAGGGCCGGCTCTAGGCACCAGCAAACCAAGCACCTGCTTGGGGCGGCACATTTTTAGGGGCGGCATTCCAGCCATCTTTTTTTTTTTGCGCTTCGGGCGGCAAAATCCTAGAGCCGGCCCTAGCAGCAGCAGCGCGTCGTGCACGGGGGCGCCCTGTGGCCGCTGCGGTTCGCGCCGTGGGGGAGCAGCGCCCGCACCTTGTGGCTGGACTGGGCAGACTCCGAACGGGGGACACTGGGACTGGGGGCCGCCCCGCGGGGCACACGGAGCTGCCTGCAGGTGCCGCAGGGCGGCCGCCCCCCAGCGCCACAGCCGGGGCTGAGCGAAGTGGCCCGAGCCGCCCAGGGACTGCGGCAGGGCGGCCAGAAGCAGCAGCAACAGCGGGGCCATAGAGGGCGGGGTGCTGCTGTGCGGGGCCCGCGTCCCGCTCTCCGGGGCTCCGCTGCCTCTGGGGCTGCCTTGCCCCAGCTCCTCAGCCCCCTGCCGGCTCTGCCCTCCCGGGTCCCGGCCGGTCCTGGAGGCAGGAACCCTGGCTGGAGGGACCCTGGGCTGAGGCGCGGCCGGGGAGCCCCGCTGCTTACCCCGACCCTTCCAACGCCAGACCGGCTGGAGGCAAGGGGGGAGCAGGCGGAGTCAGCACTATTGGGGGGGAACCCAGGGCAGCAGGGGGTGCGGGTGGGGGGGGAGAGCCCAGCACTGGGGCAGCAGGGGGTGTGGGTGGGGTGGGGTGAGAGGAAAAGCCCAGAGCTGGGGCGGCAGAGGGTGCGGGGGGGGGGGGGTGAGAGCCCAGGGCTGGGGTGGACAGCCAAAAATCTTTTTTGCTTGGGGCGGCAAAAAACCTAGAGCCGGCCCTGGTGTTTGCCCCTGTGTCTGCGCTTCCCCCTTTGTCTGTCTCCCAGCCCAGCCCCTCCCCTCCCCTCCGGGCCTGCAGCTGGGTGTGAGCAGTGCCTGCTCCCGGGCTTTGTCCCAGGCCCCGGCCCCCAGCACATGGCCCCACCAGACTGATCTGTCCCATCTGGAGCCGCCCCCACCTCGCTGGCTCCGCACCGGCCATGGGGAGCCTGTGCACCCCCAGCCCTTGCCGTGAGGCTGCGGCCCCCGCCCCTCCGCCCGGGGCCTGTTCTGCAGTCCTTAGGGCGAGGCATAGTGCAAGGGACCCTCTGCCAGTTCTACACCACTGGAGGGTCATCTCGGCACTGGAGACGATCCTTCCAGGGCTGGGTCAGTTGCCTTTTTAGGGGCAGATTTTGCCAGCAGTGGGGCACAAAAGAAGCTGCACCACATCAGAGTCGTTAAGTTTAAAGGTGCAGAGTTCATGTGAATGGGTTCGTGGAATAAAAGCGCTCGCTCGCGCTCTCTGCATCAAGTGGACATCCTAGATCTAAGCGTAATGAAAGATTGCCTAGATGATGCTGTGACGCTATCTGAGCAATTCTGACGTACAGATACCGTTTCATTCCAGTAGCAATGAGCCAGCCCAGATACGCCATTGAAAGCTAAATTCCCCCATAGCCATGGAATTTGTGTTGTGTCTGAAAAGGGCTGTCACCTGAAGGTAATAGCATTGGGAGGTGTTTAACGTGTGGAAATCCCAGGATAGTTTGCAATTTCCCCAGAGGAAACGGCTAATGACCTGAGGAAAGAGAGAGCCTAAACTCCAAGTTCTTTTGCTTTGTTCCTATTTTACAAGTACCTAGAACTTCCTGCTAACACAGTTTTCTTTGGAGTCTGAATTGGACGACAGCATTGCTTTCGCAAAAACTGTAGCTAAGGTTGTGCCAAAAGTTTATTATCAACATCTGAAAACAATGTTTAACTGGTAAATTTCCACTGAATCAAAACTTGTTATACCAGTTCCTAGTTCCCAAGGCATGCCGTTGCTACCCTTCCCAGCCTCTTCTGGTTACACGAGATACTAGCTCGCTCTCCCCACACGCATGTGTGTGTCCAGTTGATTTGGAAATATGAACTGTCACAGGCACATGACTAGACCCTGGGTATGGGATCTTTAAAAGGGTGCAATAGATCCCAGGGTAGAAAAGAGGGTCTAGTGGATAATGCACTGGAGTGGAACTCAGAAGACCTGCGTTCTATTCTCAGCTCACCCATCGCCAGGAATCATTGGTAAGTGTTTAGTTGGTTTATCATGATACAGCACCAGGTTTTATTCTTTCCAGCTTGTTTGATTGGCCGTGGTAGAATAGAGGGAAGTAGGTTGCATAAATCTTCACCTAAATTTTCAGAGAGAGGAGAAGTCGAATCAGAGAGCTACCTACAACTTGAGCAGATAAATCGATTCAGAGGGTCTGTCTACACAGGAAAAAAAAACCCGCAGCACCACATTGGGCCAACTGACTTGGGCTCAGGCCGCAAGGCTAAAAATAGTGTAAGCACTTGGCTTGGAGCCAGGGCTCTGACACTCCACCAAGGGTCTCAGAGCCTGGGCTGCAGCCCAAACCTGAACGTCTCCCCAGCTGTTTTCGGCCCTGAGACTCGGTGCCAGGGGTTTCTATTGCAGTGCAGATGGACCCACAGATTTCAAGGCCAGAAGGGGCTGTTGTGATCTAGTCTGACCTCCTGCATGACACAGGTCAAAGACCTGCCCCACAATAATGAATGGATAACACCTGTTCCGTGTCCCTTTCAGTGTAGTTCTCATCTGGTTCAGAAATATGGTGCGTATGTTTATCAGCTCCCAGGGCACAGACTAGATTTGACGTAACTATGTGCAACATCATTTATCCCGTGCCTGCATGAGAGGGAAGTGGACTCGGAGCATGTTTTACCTAGGGGGCTCTCCTGGCTGTGTTTGGGAGAGTCCAGTCTGCTGATATTAAAATGTGATTGCACAGATGATGGCGTTTGGGACGTTGCGCCCTTCCCTGTAAGGCATGGAGCGCCCCCAGTTTCAAGCTGCAGCTGTGAGGCAAAAGACCCGGAGGTCTGATGAATGGTCAGGAAATGGTTCAGAGGAGAGCATGGCTGAACATAGACAGAAGTACAGGAAATGGATTTGACATATACAGTCCACACTGACCGCAAGGAGCGGGCAGAAAGCCAGCGTCTTTGCTTTGCTCTCCGCATTCTTGGGCGATCTAACTTGGGGCTCAAGAATATAAAGCGCTTACGAAGCTGGGGCCCCAATCCTGCTCCCACTGAGTGAAGTGAATGGCAGCATCCCCACTGGCTCTCCTGGGAGTAGACGTGTGGGCTCTGAACCACAGCTGGATGCAGAGGCGTTGGCCAAATGTCCAGTTCACCAATGACGTGTTTACCCATCAATTTGCTTCCTAGCAAATCAGTATTTTGTGTCAACTTGCTGGCCAATGGGGGAAAAAAATGTATCGGCTTTGTGCAGCCGAAGAGCATCTCGTTGTTCTCTGGGACCGTGTTCCAGAATCCGAGGATGTTGTGGTGTAATGTTGGGGGTGTGTGTCATGGGGGATGAACTGAGTTTGTTAATCCAAATAAATCAGCTGTTTAAGGATTGTACCAAAAGGAGGCCCACGCCTGACCTTTATCCAGAGACATCCGTCTGTCTAATGGGATCGATGACTCACCTCCAGTTGGAAAATTCATTTCCCAGGGTTTTGAAAAAAAATGCTTTACGTGACTGTGTAACTTGGCCAGGATCCTGTCAGGTTGTGTCACGAGGCCTTCAGTTGCTTCACAGACCAGATTTACAGCCTGGCATCTGCTTTTGCATGCTTACTGTTTCCATGTAGTGGAAACTACCTCCGCTGATTTCTCAGCAGTTGGGGTTTTCTGTGCCCTCGGTGCAAGGTGTGGGTGCAACATTAACCGCATAATGGGCCGGATTCTGCATTCTTTCCCTATACCCACTCCAGTTGCCTTTCCTGGGTACTGATCTGCTGCGCTGCACGTACTTCCCCAATGCTGAGCTAACAATAAGCACCTTGGAGACACACCCAGTTCTCAATGTTTGACTGGTGGAGCATTTGGTATGTCTGGAATTTTTTTTTTTCATTTATTCTTGATAAGCAAAGGCGAGCGTTCACTGCTGTGATTTACCAAGCTTCTTCAATCGCTCCGTGATACCAACGCTGGTCGTGTTGTAGTCACACAGCTGGAAATCAGAGGGTTTTGCCTTTTCTGATATGAGTATTGGGAGTCATGTGGGAGCCAGTCCTGTTAGCTGTGGATGCAGTCAGCAGTTGTTGGCACTAGACTGGGCCAAGGTGTAAGTATTAGCACGAAATGGTTTGTACGAATAACTGTAACAATGGGGGATTGTTTGTAAATTGTGCATTTGGACTATTTGTAGTGTCGCTGGTCACGTGACATTTGGTTCTGCTCCCTGAGTGGATGACAAATTTTTTAAGAGGACAACATCAAATGCCAAAAAACGTGCTTCTGGCATGAATGTGCGAAACTTCCAGAGCTCAGGAAACGTTTCCTGAAAGTTTCAGGGATCACCTGAATGTTCAGAAATACCCACCAGCATGACCCCCCAAGCAGCACGGAACCGAATGTGAGCTGTTTATTGTATCCAAAGATCTGGTTTGTCATGATTTTACTAGACCTAGGTCATCAATATGACAGAGGCCTTTAGCAGGAGGTCTGGAATACTTAGCTAGCTAATCTTCAGTGTGATTTCTTATACAAATTCAGAGCCAGCAAGACCCTGAAGAATATTGCTTTTTGTTTTTGCATGGTACACGCTGGTACCAATAATGTTGTTTATTGCATTGTCCTCAGCACTTTGCTGGCATTGTATCTGAAATTGCTGCTTTGTGCGGATAACTTTATAGTCCAACTGAAGGAAATGACGCTGAAAAGAGATTGCAGAACAGATGCGATGCAGGCTTGTATATTTCAGTCTGAGGTTTAAAAGAAGCAGTAAGAACACTAGGTAATTCTCAGCCAAGGAAAAGCTAGGATTAAAATTCTGGAGCTGGGAAAGGGAGGGTTAACATGCCCAGACTTTAAATTTATGTCAAGATTCTTTTTCCCCCTTGTGATTAAAACCTGGGATATTGTTGCCTATTCATGAGGCCTGATTTAAAATGACCATTATTTCTGCTCTTCGTGATCTGTGAATAATGCATTGTGCCTCGATATAGTTTTTTAACTACTTACTAATACTAGAGTAATGACCTTGTGTCACACTTCAGTGATTCAAGGCTCTTGGTCTGTTGTTATATTCAAATATTGTGAAATATGTTACTCATGGCTGTGAGGGCTAAAGTAAATATAGGGGCCTTATCAGAGAGAAGAAGAAGAATATGCTTGGTTTGCATACAGTAACTTTGACTAGTCAAAAGAACTGTAACCAGCAACGCTGTGAGCATGGAGGGCTAGATGGGGCAGAAGTACCAGGGACCTTGCTTTGCAGACAGGTACCGCTCTTCCAGAGTTTCCTTGTGCACATTGGGCATATGAGCGGTTCCAGCCATTCAGATGGGATTGGTTACTCTCCTCCCCCCTGGTGTGCTATCTCCGCCCCCTGCCCCAGGCAGTGGGGAGGGAGGCTATGACCCTGCCTCCTGCCCACCCTTTTTTGCCCCATCCATCTCTTTTCTGGCATTTTATGTTTAGCTTTTTTAAGGGCCTGATCCTGTCCCATTAAAGTCACAGGAAGTTTTGCCATTTATTTCTATAGGAGCAGGGTCGAGGCCGGACTGTGTGGTTTTACTCTGAGGAGCCGTGATGGGAGATCTCCTATCGATTGCGTCTCAGTGGCTCAAGCACAAGTAGGCGCAGTTTCCACATCAAATGATGATTTGGATTATTCCCCACCCCACCCCCAACTGCCGGCTCTGCAGACCCCACGCCGGCTCTGAGACGCAAGCTGGGGGCTCTGGTTCACCTGCCGTTGGTACCTGTCAAAGAAGAATGTTGAGGCTGGTGCCTAGTTAACAATTTTGTTGATGGTGCGTGAGTCAGAATCAGGGCTGCCAACAGTCCCTAATTACAAGGGACTTCTCTGTACAAGAAGTTCGGGAGTTGCTAAGTGGTGCAAAGAGCAGCAAGAAATGCTGGCGAATGCACGCGTCTCTGGCTTCTTATTATTAATCATAGTGGTGAGGATAGGCAGCCCTAGAACAGAATCTAGCTCACCCTCCCGTGGCTGACTGGGGGATAAAACAAGCTGTTGTGACTCAAAAACTGAGGGAGCCGGTCTGTTGAGTAAGAAGGGAGGAGGGATAGCTCAGTGGTTTGAGCATTGGCCTGCTAAACCCAGGGTTGTGAGTTCAATCCTTGAGGGGGCCACTTAGGGATCTGGGGCAAAAATCAGTACTTGGTCCTGCTAGTGAAGGCAGGGGGCTGGACTCGATGACCTTTTAGGGTCCCTCCCAGTTCTATGAGATAGGTATATCTCCATATATAAGGTGCCATTTTCACATGGTCACTTTCCTGCCCATACCTGCACTTTTAAGCAATCCCCATTTTGTAACCTCTTTGGATGTTACCAAAGAGAGCCGTGACCATGTGCTGCCCTGTGTTCCCCTCCCTGCTGTTCTCGGGAAACGTAGTCTTCCGTGCAAAGGGACAATTTAGGCTCTGGTTGATCCCAGCAGCTGAGTTTGTCGTAAGCATGTTTTAATTCAAAATGGATGATTTCCGTTTGACCAGTTTTTGAGATACGCAGGGCTCTTTCCCCCAGTCTTTCTGTTTGAATGACGATCACAATGGGACAGATTCTGCCCCTCTTACTCACCCTGAACAGTCCCTTACTCCACAACTAGCACCACTGAAATCTGTGGAACTACGTGTGAAGTATGGTGTGATTCGGGTATAGATGTGGCGGGATTGGGCCCAATATTACCATCTGTTTCTATAGTATTTGATTTCTTAAAGCTCTTTGACATGAATGATTTGAGATTTCCAGACCCTTGAAAGCAGGCAGGCAGGCGTGTGTTTTTATCTCCCTTTCATAGGTGGGGAAACTGAGGGACAGAGAGGTAGGACTTGGGACACTAAAGAGGCCTGTGGGTTTATACACTATGTACCTGTATTCTGCTTCCTGTAGGTCTCAGTAAACTGAATCCAGAACAGAATCTGATATTATTTTGGACTCAGTTATTTCCAATACAATGTGAGTCAGAATGAATTTGCTCCTAATCCCAGGGAGCGGCATACATGCTGAACCGCCGTCCCCTGCCCTGTGCCAGCATGCTGCGCGGCCCCTACAGCTGGCTAATGTGTATGTACTGCCTGGCCAAGTGGCTGCTGTAAGCATATCTCACTCCGAGCCTCTCTGCTTCGGTTGCCCTGCCCTTAAGAGGTCAACAGGTTGGTTTTGTTTCTTTTGCAAACCTGTCAGCCCACTTACTCTGACTGGGCTGCTGTCTACACGCCAGCTCAGCCCCAAACAATTCTGCTACTTACCACATTTCTAGCACAGGGCTGAGCTGTGCATTTTCCATTGTACAAAGAAGAATAGTACTGACATCCTGGTGCTGAGGGGGCTGCCAGCTCCTCTGGTTAGTAGGGCATCAGCAAGTGCATCCCGGCTCCCAGAGGCAGAGATGTAAGTACAGTGCATATTTGCTTCCCAGCAGCAGTTCTGGGTTTTATGCAGCTTTTTGGAGGATTGTTTATGTTGCTTGTAGTGAAATATACTGAATTTTTATATAAGAAATGCAAACAGCACTTTGACTGTAACTAGGCGTGGAAGGATGAGATTGGTAAATGTTGATTTCACTGTACACACAGAAACCAACGAAAAATATTTCCATTGAAAATAATCCACATTTACAGCTAGACAAAGTAAGAAAAATGCTGCATGAGTACTTATCCGAGTTTAATGCCAGGATAGTTCCTTTGTATATTTTGACATGTGATATTGGGAAGTTGTGTTTTAACGGTTATAAAGCTTTAACTTTTTGAATATCCACATTTATCGTTAAACAATAATTGTTTAACCCCCCTTGTCTGACCACCCCATAATTTCACACAACTGTGAAAATGTAAATAAACAAAAAAATGCTTAAAACCCATAGTTTTACACAACTGCGAAAATTTAACTTTAAAAATAACTTTAAAAATAAACCTCAATATTATCTGTCAAAATTATTTTTAAAAAATCAAATTCTGCCAAGCCCAACTATATGCAATCTGCAAGAGAAAGTTTGAACTTTCTCATGCCCACACTATATATATATATATATATATATATATATATATATATATATAGAGAGAGAGAGAGAGAGAGAGAGAGAGAGAGAGAGAGA